TCATTCTTAGATGTGACAATTTGTCACAAACATGTACACTCAATGCAAAGAGGGGTCAGAGCAGTATACTTTAGTATAAGTTATGAAGGACATATTATGGACTAAAATATTACACATTTATTGAATTGAATCAAGTGTGCACCCATTTCTTAAGTTACTTACAGATATTAATAAAATATTTTTCTCTGTTTTTATATACATTTTGCCTTCTTTCCGTGAATCATATTAGTGATCATTAAGAGCTCTCTTTTTTGTATTTTATATTTGTTCTACCCAAATGACTATAAAACTGATTTAAACATAATGACCTGAAAAGGCAATGCAATTAAGTGTAATAGGTTTTTAAAGGAACAGAGCTTCAATATAACTTCAACCTGAATACATGAAATAGGAAATTGAATATTTTGAATGGAAAATATTTTGTTCCATTAAATGCATAAATATCAGAAAGAAAAAAATAAATTGGATTAAGTCTTGCATTCCATTCTGTTCAGATATATGTTGTTTTATTTGCTTGATTTGAATTGAACAAACTTACCACCAGGTGCAAAAGCCATTGCATAAGAACATACAAAACAGATGGCATCAGTGGATTGACAGCTATAGTAAATAGAAAAAACAAGCAGCATCATTTCATAAATTTACATACTGTTCTCATACATATAACCCTGAGATCACCATAAGAAGATGGAATTAAAACAACACAGGAATAAACACAGAAAACATAATTTTCTATGACTATTTTACATGTTAAAAAGAACTAAATAGTAAAATGATCAAAACACAAATGTAACACAAATAAAAGTTTCACTTTACACTTTTTTGTATTGTATTTTAATTTTTTTGTAATAAACTTATATGTAGGCAAAATGTTAAATTTGCTGACCATGCCGTCACAATGGTCCTTGCCTAACATGTTTATAATTGTAAATACATAAAACTGCATGGAATTATTACTCCACCATGCATTATATAACTAGAAAGCAAAAGATCAGAATCCATACTTTACTGTTTAATTTGATCTGATTTTAGCGCAACAACCAAGAATATGAGTTAAGCATGTTAAACTGAGGGCTGTTTGTAATAGTGTTTAGTATGTGAGTGTGTGCAGTGCATGATCTTCGGCTGATGAGGAATGTGTGCTGTAACCATGGTGACAGAGCTGGCTGCATTACTGAACAGACAAGCCAGAGCAGCTCTTCTCCTAAAGCAGGATAGGATTGCTTTTCCTTATGATCTACAGCTAAGACACATTTACTTACCACCAGGGTCATATATATTTCTTAGAACTCTTTCTTTACTCTCTTTCAAGTGTCATATCAGCCAGTGAAGTGTGAGGACATGGTGCATGAATCTGAGACTCCCACCAATCGTTAAAAACGAAGAAGAGAAAATAAAGGAATCTGAGATGGCATGATGATCAGATCATATTTCCCTTTTCTAAAACATGGGTTTTCTGTAGTTTTCAGTCTAACATTCATGGCCAGGCATTACTGTGTTCAGGTTCAACAGCAGGGACATAAAAAGAGATGTAGTCTTTGCCACAATCGAGTTGGACTTTGTAGTAGGGTTTAACTGAACAGAAGTTTCACACACACACACACACACACACACACACACACACACACACACACACACACACACACACACACACACACACACACACACACACACACACACACACACACACACACACACACACACACACACACACACACACACACACACACACACACACACACACACACACACACACACACACACACACACACACACACACACACACACACACACACACACACACACACACACACACACACACAGACTTTACAAGTTTCGCTGAGTAATACAGCTTAGAGCAGGTTTAAGATAATGAGCTTGTTATGAGTTTCACATTCTGAGAATGAGAAGGAGAGTGGCGTCCACATATATTAAACCCATAGCTTTCACATTAATGTTTTTTTCCTACAACAACTTTAATCATGTATGAAGAAAAATATACTGTACATCATACAGTAGGTGATGTGACTGGTGACATTTCTTTCACAAATTAGACCATTTTTATTGATTTAAATGATTAGTTCTAAGTGCATGCATGTAGTCTCTCAATTAATATGATCTCAAAAAAATCTACATACAATCTATATATAAATAAATTAGTAAAATGCTCTTTAATAACTTTAAATGGAGTACACAGTACACTGTGTTGTAGGAAGTCTGTCAGCTACCCAACTACACAAGCAAAATTTAAAATCTGTATAAGAAACCCCTTTTATAAATACTGTTTGCTGGCCAATATAATGGTGATGAAGAGTTTATTTCTCTTTGTATAAACCAAACTGTGTTTTTAAAATACAAAGCATGAGTGCTTACTAAAATATGTTAGTGTTAGAAATCTACACACCTAAACCAGTATGACAATTCAACAGTGTTGGGGGTAACGCATTACAAGTAATGCGAGTTACGTAATCAGATTACTTTTTTCAAGTAACTAGTAAAGTAACGCATTACTTTTTAATTTACAAGAGAATATCTGAGTTACTTTTTCAAATAAGTAACGCAAGTTACT